CCGGCTCATTCAAATTCAGAAGAAAGCAATATAACTAGCGAAAGATAGAGTGTTGAATCTTTTTGCCAATGATGGAAAATAAAAATGTTTCTCAATATTAGGGTTAGAATTACACAGGTTTGTGGGTATAGTTCGCTATTGAATTTGAAATAGCCGTACTCTAAGAGGGAGATCTTTAGAACTTTGACAAAAGATTTAACGATTAGCTACATTTTCTTTGGTAACTCCGTATGACTCGAGCTTCCTTTCCATTATGATGAAGGTTTCGTTTAGAGGTACAAATTCAGTTACGTAGGATAAATCGACAACTCCACAGAAGGAAGGCATGAAGAACCCTCCAGCTGTTTGGAAAGATGGTACAACGCAGGCATGCGTAAAAATAGATGATCACAACGATGAAGACAAACGAAAGATATGTGGGTGTTGAAGAAAGCGCGCACAAAACTCGATGGCTGTGGAAGATGCCGCAGAATATCAAGGGACCCACTGAAAAGGATACAATAATAAACGGTATTTGAGTTCGAAGAAAAAAAGAAGGAAATCGTAATAATTCAGTTAAAGCAATGCATAAATAAAGATGGTGGTATTGAACCGAGTTCGCAGGTAGCGATGTTTCGAAGAAAGTTGTGCAATCGAGGCTAAATACTGCATTATTAATGTTGTACATGACTGTACAGATGTAAATTGTGATATTCAGTTTTATTGAATTTAATTAAATTTACTCTTTGAAGCCATAGAAGGCTAAGCCCTTTCAGTATAATTGGATGAATTGTTCACCATTCTCCGGAATATGATTAATTAAATAGCACTCTACGAATGGAACGACGGATTCTCTGTAATGTTCTGTATGGGGGGGGGCGTGCATCGATGTTTTGATCGTGTATCAGTTCGTAGTGAGAAACATCTGGATAACGAGGCATTCAATGGAGGACTGGGATTGTCTGAGATCTTTCCAGCGAGCGCAAAGTATCTTTGATGATGATGTATACTGTTTACCCGCGACAATCGACGCAACGCCCGGTGCATTAGTCTAAACTCAGCTTCGCTCATGCCTGGAAAGATGACCGGACCTGCAAAAGTAAAAGTTTCATTCTTGTTGCACTTATTAGGCAGTATACATATTCTGATGCCTTCCTGATCTTCTTGAAAACAACGTTTGTCAGGGCAGGCAATTCTAAGCCTGAAGACAGCATTATGTCCAGCTGTTTGTCCTCATTCCCTCTCGACAGAATTTCACAAATGACATATTTTTATCCCATATGGACGTTTCGAATATTCCGCATCAAGAATCAGTATTCGACTGACTTTAAACGGTTTACGACAAAACAAAAATCGGACCACATTTGCTCGACGGTGTGAACAGCTTTTTCATATCCTTCCATGTTCTGCATCGTTCGAATTAGTGCAGTGATTATTAGATCGTCGGCATGTTTTACAGTGATAATCGGAAAGTCAGTGAACCACGAGTTAACATACGGGTTGAACAATAGTAGAGGAAGCACTGAGCCCTGAATAATTCAAGGGTTGTTTTTCTGATAAGATTAAGGTTATTATCTTATTGAGACATAATATTGCAAACGCGACGAGAAGTTGTTTGTAAACCATTCCCCAGGGTATTAACGTTAAAACGGAGTAATACAAGCGTCACCAGCAGTTTTTGCCAAGAGATCGTATTAAATGCTGAAGAGAAATCATGAAATAGCGTCCGTTCTACGCATCTGTGCTTATTCATGCTGGCTGTCATGTTGCACCTAGCAAATCGAAAC